TGGGAGTGTTACTGTGTTAATTATTGTTCCTATTGGTTTGTGTCCCTTTTGTCCCTGTGTTCCATCAGGTCCAGGGGGTGTGCTTCTGGCCTGAAAATGTGTATAAAAGAAATGCCTTTGTGCTCAATAAACCAGACCTTCTTACCCTCAACTCGCAGTCTCGTGTTGTAGGGTACTGCTATATCACACTGGGGATTGCTATACTCTGTATACTCCCCTGGATGCTAATTACTAGCTCTTCTAAGAGTTGTTCCTGCTTCGCTTTCTGAAGGAAGAGAGGTTCACCCACTGGAGCCTGGAGCCTTGACATAGGTCCGGGGCGGGTAGGAGACGGCAAGACTTCAACCAAGCTGCGGTGGTTCGTGGGGTCTGCAGTGCTTATGGTGTATGGTGGGGTGCTGATGGTCCTTGGTAAGCACTAGGCGCATCGGTTGACGGAGGGTCTGTTACAGAAACATTTCCCAATCTCCTTTAATATTCGGGGCCAATACAAACCATTGTGTGGAAATCTATTCACAAACCGGACTTTACATAGGACACGAGGCCATGCGTTTAGACTGGAAGAAAGAAGATTTCGCCTAAGGCAAAGGAAAGGTTTTTTTACTGTAAGAACAATCAGGATGTGGAATTCTCTGCCTGAGGAAGTGGTTTTATCAGAGTCCATACAGATGTTCAAACGGCTACTAGATGCATACTTGCAAGAACAGAATATTCAAGGATATAATCTTTCAATGTAGGGTAATAACTGCTTGATCCAAGGATAAATCTGACTGCCATTCTGGGGTCAAGAAGGAATTTTTTTCCTAGCTTGTTGCAAAATTGTGCTTCAAACTGGGTTTTTTTGCCTTCTTTTGGATCAACAGCAAAAAACAAATGTGAGGAAGGCTGAACTTGATGGACGCAAGTCTCTTTTCAGCTATGTAACTATGTAACTATGTAACTATGTAATAATTGAGACGTGAGACTTGCTTGGTGAAATTAGGCCACAGTGTTTATTTAAATTCACCAATAAATATAATTTTAAGCATATCAATATAATATAATTAGCATTAACAATAAACAAGTCCTTGCCAACCTGTCTTAACCTTCCCCCCTTGTCCAAACCAACAGTTATCCTCAAAACCTGGTCTTACATCAACTTAGTGCTAGCCACTAGCCGGCCTTTAGCTCAGTGTGCACATCCATTAACCACTACTTTTACCAGAGGTTAGGGAAAGGGATAAACCCCATTCTGCCTACTTTCATAGACTCCTGATCTAACCAGATTGTCAAGGACACAACCCACCACTAGCCCTGTTATTTTAAGCCTAAAATCAGCAGGGGAAACTCTCCACAAAAGCCATGGTCTGTTCCAAAACATCTTGTAATGCCAAATTTAGCAATTTGGCCTACCTCAGTAAGGTGGACAGTGTCACTCCTAAAGTAGACAGCAGTATTTTTATTTTTAGAAGATGCGGTGATATACTTTCAGACCCTCCAATCCCCAGGACAAACTTGGATACTCGTTTATTTTACTTAATTCTGCAGTGCTCTATTGCTTTTTGATCGTGGGAGCACATCCAATAGTTATGGGAGACCACCTACAACCACACCAGACTGACATGAGGATATATACTCAGTAAATGGGTCAAGTGCTGCTTAATTAGAACTGGAATGAGATAACCAGGGACCCTTCTTCTAACCCTTCATCACCTGGGTGACACCTTGCTAACATCGTGCAACATGGATGTAAAAAACTGAGACTAGATAACATAGCAGAGACAGTTGCCCAGAACCACAGAAGCGGTGACATTCCTTGAAACCAGACACCATCCAATTGGAAGCTGCCATATACCTGCTCGAATTCCAGCCATTCCCCCCCCCAGGCCTTACTATTCCAATCCCATGTAGAAACTGAAACGGAGGCCCGGATCCAAGCCAGCACTCAGTCAGCCCAATGTACAATTAGTTCTCCCGCATCACCATGGGCTGGTCCTGAACTGAACAGAGATTCTGAACCTGGCAACCAAAATCTCAGCTGCCTTCCTTTCCCTATAAAGGTTTAGTCAGTGGTTTTGTTAGTCACAACGATGTCCACTGGCACCCCCTTTGTCGTCTGGCTTACTATGTTTAAAGCAATGGGTTGTAGGGTGAGGGCCCCTGCACCTAGAGCATCCGTGTTTGTTCTTGCAACTAGTGCCCCATTTATAGTGGCTATCATTGTACTGCCTGCAGCAGCATGGTGGCACTGTCTGGCCGATGTGGAAGGGGAACCCAAATAGAAAGGACAGGAAATGCCATTTGTGCAAGTCATGATAGGGAGCCATAAGCCTATATCCACTTGGTCCCAGCCCATGAAAAAGCGGACCGCTAGCCTATGGCAGAACTGATCATCATACCGTCACTAGACCCAACTAGCATTCCAGATTAGGTATGGGTAGCAGAAGAGGGCTAAGCATCACTCGGATGCTTTTTTCACCATCACACTGGCCAATATGGAGAAGGCCTGTATCCAGGGAGCCTGACCCCACCGCTCCCCCTATGGGGTACCAACCCAGGACGTACAGGTTGCCACCCAGTCCGACCTTGACTGCGCTTCCATTGTTCAAAAAGGACATGCATGCTACTAACAAAGCTACCACAGTTTTGTCCATGAGGCATACCAACGCTTCCCCTTCCATCCCCCTAAGGGGCAACCCACATTGTCTGATAGAACGTGTCTTGGAGCAGGAGTGGACTGCTGAAGGGGAGCTAAACTGTGGATCACAGGATTAGCAGAAGCTTGATTCACTGGAAAGGCAGCAGCAGGAGAGGGCAGGGTCAGGGACATAGCAAGATTAAGGGTTAATAAGTATATAGAGGTGTATATAAAAAATACCCCTCTCTGTCTCATTAGAGATATCCTTGCCAGAAGCTCAAGGAAGCAAGGTGAAGGGTCGGTCTAGGACCCATCTAGGGGGGTCTGCCTTGACGTTGGCAGGCAGGCATTCCCTCCAGTGGCCATTGGAGTAACTAAATGACCTCCATTTGTTTAAATATACATAGGGATTAAGGAGAGAGAGTAGGTAACTTTTTATTTGGTTTTTACTATATGTATTGGAGCTGATGTGTACTGTGGTCATTGCTGCCGCCCATGAGTGATGGGAGTGAGCGCAGGATTTATCTTTTTGTATTTGTATTCACTTTTTGTATCACACAGCTAGCTTACAATGCTGCCGCCCATCCCATGTGTTCCCTATTAAGGGTTAATAAGTATATAGGGGTGTATATAAAAAATACCCCTCTCTGTCTCATTAGAGATATATTAACCAGAGGCTCAAGGAAGGAAGGTGAAGGGTCAGTGTAGGACCCGCCTAGGGGAGTCTGCCTTGACATTGGCAGGCGGGCATTCGCTCCAGTAGCTATTGGAGTAACTAAATGACCTCCATTTGTTTAAATATACATAGGGATTAAGGAGAGAGCGTAGGTAACTTTTTCTTTGGTTTTTACATAGCAAGATAGGCATGGGGAAAAGATAGTAGTTAGAGGGATCCCCTTCCATCCATCTTCCATCCACCCTACTGAGCTCATGCTTGGTCGTAACAATCGTGGATTGTGTGGCTGACCCAGAAGAATACATGGGGGAGGGGACTAGCCGCGGCACTCATTTCTGAAGGTACAGCACACTGGGGTGCGCAAGGTAAGCCCAGCGCAGCAAACAAGGAGACGAGCCAGCAGCCCTCCTTGATAGCGCCTGTGACCTACTCACTGTTCTGATGGCCCGATGGCTGCTCTGTCCAGTGGACAAGCAGGTAGAGCACCGGGACACGAAGACAAAATATTATTAAATATGTAATAAAAATAGATAGCTTCGCACTCTCCTTCCTTGTAATCCAACTGATAACTGCCCGGGTGCAATCCACTGTGCGTCCGTTATATAAACAAAAAATATATCCAGGGTGCACTCTCGGGTCTTGAACAAATAGAGTGATTTATTCAATCATGTGCAAAATAAAGACAACCAACGTTTCGACCCCTGTGGGTCTTTTTCAAGGTTACTGTGCTATCATATTCAATAAATATATATACATAAATGGTAAATACTATTACCAATCAGTTGCGCTGTGAATCCCTTCACCGAAACCCGGAAGTGAGTTAAGACCACCCACTTAGCATCATCACGTGTAGACGTTGGGCGGCGTAAACGTGTGATTACCATGGAAACCACCCAAGCTATGAGATCGGTGTATAGTACTGAAAGGGTGAACGAGAAATGTGAGGTGAATGGATAACAACAGGACGGAAGAATCAAGATCTGCATAACAAACTCGGTGACCCCCAAGCCTAGCATATATATGTATGTATGACCCCTGCCTGCTTAGCTCCTATCTCAATAGTGCTGTCAATCAACCTATACACACACTTCCCCACACTCACACATGACCCTTATCCAGCAAGCTGCTCTTTGTCACCTCCTGATCCCAAGAATCCCTGGATGCTATTGGCCCTTCCCTGACTCAAATTAATGTATATTCACTATTTGAGCTTGATGTCCTAATTCAGTTTTCAATTCAGTAGCAGTGTAGACAGAAATGAAAAGAATGGAGAAAACACACAAAGTCAGGGATTTTGGTTTAAAGTGTGAAATTCATTATTTTATTTCCATACAATTCATGCTTTAGTGAATAATTCTGATATTGAATAGTGGGCAGTCAGTGTACACATTTGAATACAGCAAAACTAAAATACTTGGATTTACAACCTGGAGAACTGCTACTCAACTTTGTAAGTTTACATTAACCATAAGCAGGACCCCAATGGGAGGGACGAAAAGGGTCTGGCCAGTGAATCTATATGCGTTACTGGTGCCACCATAGAATTAACAGGGCGTCCTGGCCAGGCTGTGTGCCACTGAGGCAGACTTAGTGCCCTGAACATAGTGCAATCACTTCTAATGATGCACTTATGCTACATTTGTTAGGGACAGACCCCTCTTGTCCCAAAAAGCGGAACACCATGGACCCGAAAATTGGGACTGTTCAGCTGTAATTGGAAGGGCAGAGTTAGCTGAATAATTAAATGGTCTTATTGGTACTTCTTCATTTGTTGAGGTAAACTCCTATAACCTCAACCATTTACCTTTTAGGATGATTACAAGGCATTATGTGTTTTTTCTACCTGCAGGGAACTACCTGCTGATAATCCCAGACCTACAGGCTATTCCGTTAATTGAGTAATCTAAATATGCATCCATAATCAAGTCTGGAAAAAGCTTTCTTATTCTCTATCACAGAGCTCTGGATGTTATCCCCCTCCTCCAATCTATTTTCTAAATTCATTTCCACTTAGTGTATTGATTCAACAGTCAAACTTCCTTAGAGAGTAGATATACTTTATTATTATTTCAAGATTCTTCCAATAAGAAGACCAACAGAGAAAATTAATGCACAGTTCTTAGTACGCCACTTAAAAAGAATTAAGAACATGCAATACCGTGGTACGCATGATAGGAAGCTGGGATTGCGGTCCTATTACAATCCAGACTCTTAGCCTATAAATCTAAACTGATTACTTCAAAAATTAAATGAAATAGCATTGATCTTAATTTTAAGTTTGGCTTTTATAATAAAAGCAATGGTTAACTCACAATATAGCCTGACCATTTGAAAACCTGGACGAATATTTGCAAACACCCACCATTTTACATTGACAGCTGATCAGCCTGCAGGAGTGTGCAAATAGCCTCGCCGCGAGTCTGTCAATTGTCAGCGGCTGTCAGACAAGCAGCTGTAGACAGTACTCGAGCAGTGACCTTCATTCACTGATATTGCCAATGAGAGAGCTTTAATTTTGAAGGAAATTGATACAGGGGACCTAGTGACACTGGAAATGTGTATGTTACAATGTGAACCACGTTGGCTTCTGTGCAGGAGATGACATACATCTCTAAAAGCAGTGGCATCACTATGGTTGATGTCACCCACTGCGATAACTCATGGTCTCACTCCAACCCTCTTAGTAATGTGGTTTTGTTTTTGTATGTGCAGTGATTTGCAGAGTACATGAATGTATTAGAGACTGCCTCTGTGTTTTGAGTGTCATATTATGAAATGTATGTGTTTGGCTGTGGAGGTTGATGGGTGTGATGTGAGTGGGATGTATGTGTTATTGGCTGAGTGTGATTGTGTATGCTGGCTGTGTATGAGAAGGCTGAGTGCAATTGTGTGTGGGGGTTGTGTGTTTGCAATTAAAAAAATGTTATTGAGTAAAAGGGTTTTCTTATCTGTTGCTTCTTTTGCACGTTAATTATCATTTTTTAATATATGCCATTTTCAGTGGCAAAATATATTTTAATTTTCAGAAAAAGTACAGACACACAGTATTACAGACGGTTATAAAGAAACATTCCCACACTCTCATACAGACCAAGTAATACATACATACAAATTTATACAGACAGTCAGACAAACACATACAGACACATAATCCCAGATGCATAAACACACACATACTAACACCTAGTCATGCAGACATATACACCATGCAGACAGATATACACAAAGTCATACAGATACACACACACACTGATACAGACACAGTTATACAGAAAATCACACAGACACATACCCACACACAGTCATACAGGCACATGCGTGCATTCATACAGAGACACAGTCTTACAGACACACATACACACACTGAAATTCCCAGAGTAAAGTATTTAAAAACAAATCTGCACTTTGCACTTTAATAATACAATTATACAAACTTACTGTAGTAATGTGCAGTGGCCGGTTGCAACTTTCTCAAGAGGACTCTTCAACTCCAGGGCCCAGCAGGACTCTCAGGCACAGAGACAAGGGCTGGCAGGGAGGAGGCGGCTACCATTCACTACCATCACCCACGAGGAAGAAGAGACCACCAGAATGTAGCTACACACGTTGTTCAGTATACTATGGAACGCGTGAGCCAGATTCTGCTTCTTCCGCCTCTGCTGGGTTTCTGAAGGAATCTGCCATGCTGTGGCCGCCTTTTCGCCAACAAGTGATGTGACACCAGGAGGATTACTTGAGTGAGGTCCTCCCTTGAGGTGTTTCCCCCGGGAGGTGTCACCAAGATGTGATCCACACCAGCCGCATCTCCTACTGACGCTACTGTCCAACAGCACAAGTCATTTTATGCTCATTTAATGATATTCAATGTATTAAAATATTGTGCTCAAAACAAAAATCTCACTAATATCTTCTCAGGGGTAGGACTGCCTGTAATGTAAGTATATAACTGCACCTGGGGTTAGCAGTAAACTGAAGAATTAAAGACATAAAGGCCTGCGTTGGGTCCCTCTTCCAGTTTTCCCTATTAATATAGTGACTTTTATTACGTAGGCATCGCCCTGATGGATGACATGGACTCTGACTCCTTGTAAACCAAGACTATAAACCAGTGGTGGTGAAGGTTTAAGAAGGTGATGTTTAAGATTACTCCCCCAGAATTTTGCTCTTCCCTAAACAGTACAGTGATACTTTTTTACAATCTTTATTTTGTATTTTCATAAGCAAAGAGTGAAAAATAAGAGGAGTTGGGAATTCAGTGTTAACTAACATTGAGCAGGTTAGGATAACAAAAGACAAATTATGAAACAAGGTCAGGTATGCACTTCCACAGGTTGGTACAGGTGTGTAGGACAATCATCTGTACTGTCTATCTTACAAGGGTAACTATTAGCATCTGTATATCCAGCCTGTAGTGGAAAGGTAGCAAGGTGTGTGACCCGCATCTACTGGGGTGTTCATCGTCAGATCCACACTACCCTTATATGGAGTCGCCAGCCCCTACTCTTGTATATACGCGAGAGTACAGTTCGGGCAGTTAAGTCGTGCCCACGTGGGCCAAAGAGCATGTAGCTAAGGGAGGGCAGTCGTGATAAATTGAGTTGGGGGAGGGGCATTGACAAGGAAAGTGGGTGGACAGGGAAGGGAAGAAAAGTAGAAGGGTGGAGAGTAGAAGAGGGGAGGAAGGGAAGAGGAGAGGAGGTGATTAAGAGGGAGTGAGTGAAAAGGGAGAGGCAAAAAAGGGGAGGTGAGGGGAGAGGAGATGAGCCAAGACTGGCCATCCATATGCTTATCTTATGTCCGAGGTCTTTGAGAGATGTACTCCAGCCAGGGGGTCCAGGTGGAAAGGTGTTTGTCTGAGGTGCCCTTTAGGGCAGCTGTGAGGGATTCCATTTCGGAGGTCTCCTCCACCCTATCTATACACTGCTGGAGAGTGGGCTCCCCTGGGTATCGCCACAGGGTTGGACTTAGAGATTTAGCTGACGTGAGTAGGTGTTTGGTTAGTGATCGCTTGTAGGCCTTTAGGGGTACTGTGATGTTGTGTAAAAGCATGGGGAGCGGTTGGAGTGGAAGGTTGGATTCCGTAATTTCCCTGATTTTGGTGTGTATCATTGTCCAATACGGGGCGATGGCAGGGCAGGACCACCAAATGTGGAGCATTGTGCCTGTGTGGGACCTGCAGCGCCAGCATTCTTCAGGGGTTATCGGCTTCATTCGGTGGAGTATGTCAGGCATCCTGTACCAGTTGGTCAGCACTTTATAGCTCATTTCCTGGTACTTAGAGCTTATGGAGCATTTATGGGTCAGAATGTATATCTTGTCCCATTCCTGGTCAGTGAGTGTCTCTCCCGTCTCCCGTTCCCATCTCACTGGGGACTGTGGATCTACCCCTTGAAGGAGCATGGGGTACAGTGTGGAGATCCCCCTGGGGATATGTATTCGCGAGGTACATAGGGTTTCGAACTGGGTAAGGGTCCTATGTAGCTGAGGCCTACTACTCAGGGAAGTACCCTTTGACCTGTTGGTACCGGCACTGTTGTAGCCCCGTCGGGTGCCCCCCATGTATGAGCTCTGCGATTGAACATATCTGCGGTACACCATTGGCGCAGGTACATCCAGTCCACAGTCGGGAAGCCCCGTAGGTCTCTAGGCCCTCCGCGAGGTTGAGGTTATTTGTGATGGGGGTCAGTGGGTTAGGGACTGTGGTCAGCTGGTGAGAGTATCCAGTCCGCAGTCGGGAAGCCCCATAGGTCTCTAGGCCCTCCGTGAGGTTGGGGTTATTTGTGATGGGGGTCAGTGGGTTAGGGACTGTGGTCAGCTGGTGAGAGTATCTCAGAGAGCACCACACTCGTAACGTGACGTCTATTAGCGGGTTCCCTGTGCATAGGGAAGCATATGTGGCGCCCCCCAACCAAAGTTGGTGGGGGATCGCCCCGCCGCCCTGGTGTAGCTCCATTGCCACCCACAGTTTAGGTGTTGTGGGGACGTGTCAGTCTGCTAAGTGGAGTAGGTGCCTGATAGTATGAGGTGATCGATGGGAGACCAACACCCCCCGCATGTTTTAGTTTGGTCACTTAGGATCTGTGGAGCCTGGAGGTTTTTTTATTCCAGATAAAGCTCTGAATGGTGGATGCGATGGATTGAAAAAAAAGCCCTGGGGATGATCACTGGGATAGTTTGGAATAAGTATAGGAGGCGTGGTAAGACATCCATTTTTACTGCGTTAATATGCCCGAACCACGAGACATAGAGATCGGACCACCATCTCATGTCTGATTGGAGGGTGGAGAGGATGGGGAGGAAGTATAGCGCGTATAGTTGTGAGAGGTATTTGGGGAGCCATATGCCAATGTATCGCAGTTTATCCGAATGCAGAGAGCGAATTAGGAAAGGAGGTGTGCCTCCGTGCCAGGTGGGATAATAAACCGAGACGTATACATCACAAAGATAGCTATAAAATAAACAGGGCAAAGTACAATACAGAGATAAACATGCCACAAACAGAGCTGAGAAAACATAGAGATAGAATACAAAGATACATATACACTACACAGAGCAGGACATAACAAGCACACATTGTGGACATTGTTAAAGCATCAGGACACTGACAGACTTCTTATTACCTTTCCAGCTGGCAATATGATTAATCTGCAGTGGTAATATTGAGCCACAAAGTAGCTGACATGGTTAACAGAAGCAGCGATCATTTACAGATTAAAATATATAGAAATAAAAATCAGATCAGTCCTCGCAGTCACAGATACAGTCCTGAAGTGTTTTGAGCTTCACCACCTTTGCATGAGGGCCACAGTTTTCAGCTGTAGAGTGACTAAGTACTTTAACTCCTTCCCGACCTTGGACGTAGCAAGTACGTCCGACATAAAACGGTCGTTAAGGACCGCGGACGTACCTGGTACGTCCGATCACAAAGAGGCACTTACCTGATTGCTGGTGATGCACCGGTGTGAGGACTTGCCTGGCATCCCAGGCAATCCCCCTGAGGCTGACCCAGCCACCCCCTGGGCCATGTGATCGAGAGGTGATCGCAATCACATGGCCGGAATAGCCGGCTTGTGCAGTGCCTGCAGGGAAAGTGCCTGAGCTTTCAGGGTGTCCCTCTCATGCCTGCAAAAAAAGTTTTAAACGTTAATGAAAGTTGTTAAAAAGTTTAATAAGGTAAATAAAAGTACTTAGATCATATATATATATTTATATATATAAAAAAAAATATAACAGCTTGGCACTCTCCTAATCTCAGTCACAAAAATAATACTTGCCTAGGTGCCACCCGCGTTAAATATATATCGAAATAGAATCAAGGGTGCACTCACAGGTCTTGTAGTGAAAAAACTTGGTTTAATGGAAAAAAACTTCAATTACATCTGTGATATACAATCGACGTTTCGACCCCTAGGGTCTTGAAAAAGACCCGTAGG